CGGCAAGAAGGTCGCCGGCTCCGCCGCGGGCGGCATGAAGTACGTGACCATGGAGCTCGGCGGCAAGAGCCCCGTCATCGTCCTCCCGGACGCCGACGTTGAGCAGGCCGTCGACGGCGCCATGCTCGCCAACTTCTACAGCTCCGGCCAGGTCTGCACCAACGGCACGCGCGTCTTCATCCCCAAGGCCATGAAGGCCGACTTCGAGCGCGTTGTGCTCGAGAAGATCCAGTACGTCCGCGCGGGCGACCTCTTCGACCCCGCGACCAACTTTGGCCCGCTCAACAGCAAGACGCACCTTGAGAAGGTGCAGGCCTACGTCCGCAAGGGTGTCATGGAGGACAAGGCGACGCTGCTGGTCGGCGGCACGAGCCAGCCCAAGGGCCTGCCGTCGGCGTACAAGACCGGCCACTGGATCCAGCCGTCCGTCTTCACCGACTGCACGGACGAGATGACCATTGTCAAGGAGGAGATCTTTGGCCCCGTCATGTGCGTGTTGACGTACGACAGCGTCGACGAGGCGGTGCGCCGCGCCAACACGACGGAGCTGGGTCTCGCCGCGGGCGTGTTCGGCAGAGATGTCGACGAGTGCCACAAGGTGATTTCACAGCTCGAGGCCGGTATTACGTGGATCAACACGTGGGGCGAGTCGCCCGCGGAGATGGCTGTCGGTGGATGGAAGCAGAGCGGTGTTGGTGTCGAGAACGGACGCAAGGGTCTGGAGGCCTGGGTACGGAATAAGAGCACCCTCGTCGAGATGGGCGGGGCCGTGCCTACGGTGTTCTCCAAGTTGTAAAGAGGGGGAAACGGGAAGAAAAAGGTGGACGAGACGATGTACTGATGTATTGTACTGAAGCGGGATTTACAAAAGAATGCTCCATGTTGAGCAAGAAGATAGCGATTGAATGATATCTCATGTGTTTGATGAGTCTGGAAGCACTACGTTATATTAACTAAGTGAAGCGGACAAGAAGTGTGGTGAAAGTCACAGGTCGTTGGAGTTGGTCACGTGCCAAATGGTTCAGTATATATTCGGGCAGTATGCCGCCAGAAAGAATGCCACAAACCAATTTGTTGTGCTTAGCAGGACGTGTAAATGGAGGAATCTGAACACAACTTTTCCCAAGGGGGGAAAGCCAAGTGGTGTAACGCCTGCTCCTTAGGTATCTAGTCCTCCCATCAGAGATATGCTCCAAAATTTATTCCTGCGCATATACAAATACAATGATGGACGACAATAGGCAGTGCGATCTATCCTCTGTGTGGAATGTGAGCTGATGAACTACAGACTGTGCAAGGATGTGAGCGAAGTATGAGGTCAAGCGCTGGAGCTGCGCTCATCTATAGTCGCCGGCGCCGTATTTGCGTTTTGGTTGAGTGATATTTTGGATTGTCGAGAGGCTGTGCTTAAGTACCGTTTTGTCCCAGGTTGTGGATATAAAATAGCAAAGTGGGAGAGACGTTCCAGTTCACGCAGCGCAATAAATTAGCGTGCTGCGGGCCATGATGCTTCATGATGACGGTAATCGCGCTTTTTTGTTAGTAGTGGGCCTGCTCTTTCATGCCTTCCTGTTACACATCTGAATGGCAGTGATAGGCTGCGTGGCAAGAATGAAGGTGCAGAACTTATCCCTTGCTTATCCTAGCAAGTGATGAACAAAGGAAGAAGGTGGAAAATGCTCTAGATGGGTAGGCCACTTCACAGTAAGTTTGCATAATCAGCTTGTGATGCCTTTAGGTTCACTTAGACTAATGAGAATTTTAATCACAGACTGAAATAAAAGACTTAGGCCACAAAGACCGGATTATCTTATTAGGCTTGAAACTTTTTGCGCCCGCCTTTTTATGAGAGATCACACTTAGGAATGAGGAAGCTTGAGGACCAAAGAATGACCGGTCTACATGTTTGATACTTATCAATGTTCGCGATGAGTTTGGGCGACATGCCTAAGGGGTATAAAACCATTAGTACTACGGAGAAGTCATTGATGAAAAGACAGAGCAATATCGCTTGCCCTTCCTTGCATTCGGTTCTGGTTCCGACTTCCATCGTGGCTGGCTCTGAGACAGTGATACTTGGCGATCTGAAGCGCAGTTCGGTGAGGCAATTGCTAGCGCTTTCTCTTGTCCAGCCATCTTGTCCGACTTCCATTTAGTCTGAATAATGGAATAAGTGGTCTATCACGGCAACTCTGTGGCGTTCATGGGTCCACGCATGGTTCTGGGGGCATTTTCCAACGTGACAGGCAACCGTTTTGGGTCTTACCCATCCAACCTAAGTATGTACAACTTCAAACAAGCCGGAAACATTTCGTGGGTTGTCGTTCTCATTCACGTCTCAATAGCGTTCGTATATCTTCTTATGCCTTCGACTGAATCTCGAATCACTATAATCAGAAAGATGCATGTGATATTGTATATCAGCGGCAACGATAGTGTAGAGCGATGGGTGTGCCCAACGAGATTCAGCCAGTATCTGAGAAGCTGTGCATCCGTCGTCGCCACATCATTTGCTAAAGCTGCAACTTGCTGCTTTATCACCTTCTCAATTGGACCATTATTTGATGAACCTGAATACCGAAGCGCGATAATTGTCAAGTGAAGCAGACGTAATCCATCATTCGGTCAGCATTACCGTTCGACACTCTGAAAGAAGCTCATACTTTGATCGCTGAACTATGAAAGCCAGATGTTGGCGGTCAGACCTGAAGCCACCTGCCTCAGTGGTTGCGCAACACTCGGCTGAAGGTGAGATCACGGCCATCGGCCTATCGCATACGTTCCTCTCAGAGTCAAGTCCTACACGCTCGACCTCTAGACGCCAGGTTAAAACGTTAAGCTCTGCATCAATCGTTTTGGGGAGCTCAGGGTATGCAAAAGGTCGGCTGCTTCTGGCGATGACGACGAGAAGATGATTCAGAACGCAGGGTGGGAGATGATACGGCCGCATTCGACCTGAGTGTTGAGAATCTATTTCGCCATATTGAAACAAGATAGAGCAGCATTCTATTGTCTATATGCCAGAGACACACATCCTTCAGCACTAACCGCTATGCCACCCACCCAGCACGATCGTCAGGGTTCTCTACTTTACTTCGTGCAGCCTCCCTGTGCTCCGACTGTGTAGGTAGAACCACGAATGTCGTTAGACCCAATCTTCCCCTTGTCGGCGCTGCGGGCATCTATGATTCTGAAGTCTCCCGCCAGATTCGCGTTGAGATCCGCCGAGGTGTTGATGCCGTCATCTCGGTCGACGACGTGGCACTGCTCGTTTATGCAACAGCACTGCGGCGTGCCCACGAACTTGGGAGCGCCACCCGATGTGGCATCCGGCGACTTGAAGATCTGGAAAATCTTGCACTTCGGCGCCTGTCTCTCGGCTGCGGGGGTTAGAAGGTCAGCGGACGCGAAAACACTAAAGGGACGGCTTTGGCTACGCACTCAAGTCCTTAGGAAGGGCCGAGGAAGCAACTAGCGTTGCTGTCGCGAGGAGAACGATGGAAGTGAGCTTCATTGTGAGCGATTGACGGAGGTTGGAGACGGTTGAGAAAGAATGTGGGTCTTTGGATTGGAATACTGAGGGCTGATGGCTACCACTCTGATCCCGAGGGACTTGGTGCTTCCTTAAGTAGTCGGAAAGATGATCTTAACTGGCGACCATCACCACAGGTTCTCATACGGACACTTTCACGATATCCTACCTCGGAGGAAAAAGTCCCAAAGGGGAAAGTTTCTGGATGCGACATCCGTCTTTGGTCTGTGCTAAGCTAGTTGACACGGGTTTGAAATGAAGAGAACGATAATTAATTAAAACAAGGTTTAGACAGATTCATTTGCAGGGCTGATGTGAGCTGTGCGTCGTTCTGCAGGCTGTGTCGGTAAAGTCTGAGTTTATGATTGGCTTTGACATTGAAATGAATGGAAGCCGTGGAAGTCGTGGAAGCCGTGGGAGCTGGTATTGGACTGAACTCCCGCTATACATGATGAGACAGACTAACAACTGCTGGAGACAATAGAGTTCATCGCTGTCAACCAAGTCTTTGCCGTTCATCCGAAAAGACCTTCAAACCTCCGGAGCGGCCGATAATTCTAGTGAGGCAGCTGCTGCGGTTTATCCCAGCAACACAGTCTTTGTGCAGTGCTCTCTCTCTCTTATTCTGGTTCTTCATATTGAGTTGCAGGCGTCCACTTGATCTGTGGTGATGACATCGATCTTTTTATCTCCATGGAAATGGCCTGTAGAAGCTGGAACACTCCCGGATTCAGGGTCCTAGCTAAGCCACGGAGGTTCTGAGTGCACAATCCACCCTCAGGGGGAGCGATGAGCAGCATTGGTCGGACAGGTGGTTGGTGCCCGGATGGATTTCTTATACTGCCTGGATAGCAAAACTCTGTACGAATACTTACCATAGACTGCGAAGACAAATCCGTTCACGCCGCCCTGCCTGCCTGCCTGTCTATGCATGCATGCGTAGTGTAATGGATAATACTTGTTGTTCTGGCGAGCGCCATCTTGCTGAGACGCACAAAAGCTTAGCAAAAGCTTATAATAGATCACACCAAAGCTTATCATGGTTCACACGAAAGCTTATTATAGTTCATCCATTTCCCCCAAACTCGCCGGTATCCGGGTATGAAGACAGGTCAGTCAAATTATTTGGCCGGCCCAGGAAGAGATGGATTCACTAGTTCGGATTTAAAGTGTACGAGTGTTCTAGAACCAGTCTATTGCTTATGTTACGGGACCTGCCGGTGGCGCCAATGTCCGGCGGGAAGCTGACGTTACTTTTGTACCAATGCGCCGGTCCCAACGCTGGAAATGCTCAAATTCTATTTTACTTTTCAATTTCAGCCCCCTAGTTTTAGTCAATGTGGTGGGACGATGTCCCCGTGTCGCCTCGCTCTTGGTCTCCGCTATAGACGGGAGAGCAAAAGCGACCTCCTCAACCAGCGATAATTTCTAACATCATTCTTCATAAGTGAATAAGTGCAAGTTCATTTTAGATGAGGACGATCTCCCTGATACTTCCTTCGCCCCAGAGACTTCTCAACCGTGCCTGGTGCTCCTTTGGTGAATTCTTCCCGCGAGTTTGTTCCTCCTCCCATCGGTTTGAAGATTTCACCGGCCAAATGCTATCCATCTCAAACAAGCCAACGCGAGAGTAACGATTCTCCCCTTCCTCCATGAGCACAAGACCATCTACACCAAAATCGCCAGAGTCCACAACCACCAGCAGTTCAAGGGTCAGTGCGTAGTCCAGTTGGAGCCTGTCATCGTTGGGATAGTCGAACCCAACCGCTACGATCTGGTCTCCCACCTCGCTTTGTATGAATCCGTTCTCATCTGCCGAAGGCATGGAAATGCTCTTAACCAAGCCCCGAATACGAAGCTCCGCAACCTTGACCTCGCCAAACGGCTCGACCTCCGACACAGGCTGAATGTCGTCGCCTAATATCTCAAAGTCTTGATTTTGGCGCCAGTGGGTATGTCTTTGCTGCATCCAGCTCGCTCGACCTTCGAAAGACGCCCAACTCCACGAGGGCCCAGACTTGTGGCCGAACACAACGTCACCTTCCATTAATGTAGGGAACCACATCAGTCCCCTCGCCAAGTCAGACCTCCAGAAGCCACTCATGTAATCATCTTCCAACAGAGCCGCAAATTCTCTCGCTATGCCCGATATCGCAGGGAAGCGGTCGGCTCGATGGGACAGCTTTCGTCCAGAGTACACTTCCACGAGGTCGTACCAATGCGACAGAATCTCAGTCTTTGGGGGAGCGCTTTCGCCACCGCGCAACAAGGCCATAAGCCCTCGGAAGAGGTATTGATCAGAGTAATTGAGGTAGGTGTTTCCCATGCCCCCGATCCAGCCATCGCAGTCTTCAACCAATGACTCGGAGCAATGGCATATCCACGTCGTCTGCCGGGCGCGGTACTGGAGTCGGCGTCTGGAAAAGAGCAGTTCTTGGAGGGTCCACGCCCTCTCGTACCAGGGCTCCATTTCATCCAGCTTGTCCGGTATGAGTATCATCGTTTGCTGCTCGTGCCCCTTGGGTTCATCAACTTCGGCCTGGACTTCAAATACCGGTTGGACTTGCCCATCTGGGTCTCTAGCTGTTTCGCAAGTCGGAGCCCGCTTCCCGAGGAACCCTTCCTTGACATCCTTCGCTGCGGAAGCAACGATTGTAAAGGTTGCGTTGCGATAGATATCGCCCATTTTTCTCAGTTCTTTCAGTTTGTCGTCGTAATCATCTTGGATGATACATAGTGCGTCGACCCATAGAAATTTGAATCCCAGCTCCCTGGTAACCATTATGCTGTCCCTAATAGTTGGATCTAGATTTTGCAAGTCGATCGAAGAGGTCAAATTAGACATATTGCCAGTTCTCAACATGATAGCTTGAGAGACACCTCCCCAGCAGTAGGATAATGCGATGTAGCGTTCTCTCGTGTTCTCAGGCACCCGAAACAGTCGAATTTGACCAGGGTCCGATACATCGATAACCATGGAAGGCATGAAATCTGGAAGATCCATTATTCCGCATTCATGATTTATGTCACAGTTGCTCAGCCAGTTTCGTATGAGGTCCATCGAAGCTGGACTTTCCGGATTCAAATTGACAGGGGAGCCAACACAGGTTCGTGAAGCGTTGTTGAAATAACCTTGAGTCCAGCTTAGCATTGAAACATCTAATGACAGTTCCCAGAAGGGAATTACCTGGAAGGGAAAGAGCGAGAAATCTCGTCGAATATTGCGTCAGTCCGATTTCTCCGGGATCGGAACTCGCATCCCGGCCCAATCTTTTGGGAACTAAGATTCCAACATACACCATAACGTTTCTGTCCTTAAAATCGTTGATAGCAGAATATCCCATGGTAACCCGGACAAAGTTCTTCCGAACTTCAGGAAGTTCTTCCTTGTCACCAGCAACTTCGCCATGATCCCAACGAAGGCGTTTCCGCAAGCGCGGATACTCGTTCGCTTCAGACGCGTCGACAGAAGCAGCAAGTTCTTCCTCATCCGCTGCTGTCCAGTGTTCACGGCTTCTGTTCAACTCGCAAGTATTTATACTTTGTTTCTCTTGAGTCTTTGCCTCTGATTCAATGTTCATCAGCTGGTCTTGGATGACGGTCCAGAGAGTGCACCTTCGGCCGGACAGGTTCCTGATTTCTTCCACAGTCGTATCCAGCCGGAAGAACTCGACGTCCATGGAGTTGACTCGACTTATCTTGGGAGGGGGAATAGGCGCCATTGTCACCATTTTGCAATGATCGCAGGAGTGTGCCTTGTCGTTTTCGGACACCAATGCTCGCTTGAGACGAAGGATTTCTCCCGCCATGGAGGAGGTCTCCGGAATATATGCTTGAACTTCATCTCTCTTCATCATCGTGTTTGATAGCCTTATCAAATGCACTGTCTGTACCGCTTGGTCTCAAGAGTTGATGTCTCCTTCGAGATGGTGGTTGTCGTGTTGAATGGGGTCGATAAGGCAACTAGTAGCCTGGCGACGTTCTATCCAACCGAGCCCGACTCCGACCAATCAGGATTGAACCAATAATGACAAATGTCTCCGAAAGGATCCATAGCCAGGCTCAGCTTCCCTGAACCCATGAGCAACAGCAACTCTAAGCTACTATTTACGGGTGACTGTTCGTCAATGAGGTTAGCGTCTGGGAAACATAAGGCTTGAGGAAGGTGGAAGAAGACTTTAGCCAGCCTTCTCAACCAAAAGTTGGGTCTTCAACGTTAAAAAACAGGCTGTTTGACAAATCTTTGGGGGCTTGCTTTTGAGGGGCACCCAAAGCAGTTGGAGTCCACGCAACCAACACTCGTCCGCGTGATAATGTACAGCACACACTGCATTAGATGTCCATCATTCCCTCTTGGGTACTCATAATGCAGCAAGACCAAACAGAGTGGAATGCAACGTATGGTGCTAGCTTGATGCGTATACTGCATATGCACGATGAATGTCGACATGGTGATTGACAAATGCTACTGTCCTCAAACCATTCGTATCTTTCTAGAACAATCGCTCTCCAACATACATATATGCAAATGATCTACAAGTAATGACTTGAGATTTAAACCCTTTTGGCAATGAGAAATATTGAGGATATCGCCGTACGTCTAGGTTGAAATCTATGCGACTGGCCTGTTGAGAACCCTGGAGAGTCGACGGGCAATCTTCTTGATGAGGCTGCAGGCAGACATTTGTGCCGTCGAGGTAATAATCGGCAAGGCCGATGAACCGGGGCGAAGGAAGCGAGGAGTAATTCATGTCGACGCGGGACAGTTCGTTCTCATATAAGCCGTATACAGTCCATCGCCGTCAGGACCGCCGCATGTAGCCTGATCCTTGCCGTTGCAAGTTGCGTTACATGATGCTTCGGGCTGCACGACGAATGGAGGATCGCCAGACCCACGTCTGCTGCACGAGCATCGAGCGCCATCAAACAAGACGGCAAATTTCGTTTCTGATATCCTGCAGTTGGTCTCGCACATCCTGGGAGGCATGACGTTGCTGACCGAGAGTCCTATGAAGTGGGTGTCGAAGTCTGACCCGGCGAGGGAGACGCATCCGATATAGTCCCATACACAGGGCTCCGCATTCTGCTGCTAGGCGAGAGGTTGTGTCACAAAGAGTAGCGTGAGCAGCTGTGACAATTTGCAAGACATCTTGAGAGATCGAACGAAATCTGGCAGGCGTTGATGAAGATCAGGATGGGATGTAATGAAGGGAAAGAAGTGATTTTTATCTTGATCGAAATCACTGCCGTGAAGCGCATGTTTGCGATATGAGAAGATGAGATATCAGCATTGAACAAGCAAGAGGCTTGTGGGGTAATCAGTTCACCAGATCAACATCAGTCCAGTCATGACTGATTAGACCGAAAAGTTTAATGTTTCTATCTTGCACCGAGTAAGACACATTCAGTTTCTTCACATGATCTGCAGCAAAGCATTCCCGTATTCGGGTCAACAACATTCCAATGAGTCAATGTTACACGCCTGGATTACTGGTACGGACGTCTTTGTGGGACAGAAAATGTCACAGCCGCCGCAAAAGCATCATGTCTCAAGTGGAACTTGCCAACAATATGACGACCTTTTTCAGGGGTTAGCTCAAAAAAGCAAATGGGTCCTTCGTCACGATGCCAATGTTCTTATTCAATATGAACGGCTCCAGCGCGTATATATACACGTAATCAACGGCGATGTGCCATAAAAAGTAAATACATAGAATTCCCAACTTCCTTTTCAAAACGACACTTATATCGCGACGCCCGATGACAGGCGGGCTGCTCTTCCCGACTTTACTCCTGATGCTTAAGCAGCGCAAATGCTAGCCTGACGACCAGCACCCTTGGAAACGATGCTCGGCACATCGTTGGCCGCATCGACTTTGTAGTCGTAGAAGGTCTTGGGGTCGAAGACAGTGCCAGCATTCTTAGCCGTGGTGCCGCTGGTGCTCTTGAAGACGTTTCCGGTGGCACTAAGCTTGGCAGTGCTGTCGGCCTGGATCGGGTTCTTGACCTTCTCAAAGTAGCAGTTCTCCATGACCATCTCGGTCTTGCCACGGGCGTAGTGGCCGTAGGAGGTCTGGCCAACGAGGTAATTGTTGTAGAGATGGACGTTCTTGACGTTGTCGACGGAGGGGTTGCGCTGCTTGGTCTGGTCGAAGTAGTTGTGGTGGATGGTCATCTGGGCACTGACGTTGTCGGTCCAGCCTGTGTGGGTTTAGTTAGTGACAGGGACGGGGGAGATGGAGAGATGAGTGGATCTTACCAATGCCAAACGCCTTGTTGTGGTTGCGAAGAATGGTCCAGGAGACGGTAAGGAATGTGGTATCCTTGCGGCTGTCAATGAGACCGTCACCACCCTTCTCAAGGTGGACGTGGTCAATCCAGATATTGGTGCAGTTATCCTTTCTTGAGTCAGCATTGTGAACTTTCATGAGGTGAACTCATCTTACCATCTGAATGCCGTCAAAGTCCTGAGTCTTGCCCTCGTCATCACCCTCAACGTAGGTGTTGCCGATCTTGAGATTACGGAAGATGATGTTGCGCTGGTTCTGGATGTTGAAACCACCTTGGTCGATCTCGGCAGTGGCACCAATACCAACGATGGTCTTGTCAGAAGAGACCTTGACCTCCTTGCCCTTGGGGGTGATTGTGATCTTTCCAGAAACCTTGATCACGTACTTGCCCGTGGAGCCAGCATACTTCTCAAGATCAGCCTGGGTCTTGACGACGACAACCTCACCGCCCTTGCCACCGGTGGTGCCGCCGTTCAGAGAAGCGAAGCCGTCGGGGGTGCCACTGCAATCATCGGCGGCGGCGGCAGCGGCAGCAGGTGTGGCAGCAGCCTTGACGACGGTGGAGAGAGTTGTAGGGGTAGCCTGGGCAACGGCATCGGCGACAACAGCGGGTGCGGAAACCTCGGCGGAGACAGCGACGGCGGCAGACTTAGCGCCGCTGGTGTAAGACGAATCAATCCAGGAGGTGGAACCGAGAACGTCACCAAGCTTGACGGCAGAGCTGCGCTTCTTGGAGAAGCTAGCACGTGTGCCCTCCGCGCCCTTACCGGTGTTGGCGTACTCGCTGTAGTCGACGTTGTCGGTCGGGTTGTCACCCCACTTGATCCATCCCGCAGAGTTGACGACGGAGCCGAGGTTGCTGTTCTGGAAGACGACACGGGCGAAGGTGCGCCAGGGACGGCCGAGATATGTCTGACCATCGCCGACTCCCGAAAGGGCCTTGACGGTGGACTTGTTGATGACGTACCACGACGGGTTGCTCGTAGAGTCACGGCCGGAGGCGGTGATGTACCCCTTGCCGGAGATGGCGAGTGTGCAGGACTCGAACCAGGCGATGGCCTTCTGGCCGAAGATAAAGTCGGTGGCGCCCTCGATGTAAGAGCCATGGAAGTAGTGCTTGCCCTGGTTGGAGAGGACGGTGTCCTGGTAGCCCTTGGCTTGGATGCCGTAGTATCCTTGCTGGTTGCCGTAGGCACTCAAGGCAATGGCCTGGATGCCCTTACCACGGGAGTTGACGATGTTGATGTTGTAGACCTTGAGGTTGTCGTTTTTGGCTCGGAGGGTACCGGAGGCGTCATTGTTGCCGGCCTGGTCAGCGCCTAGGCTGTTGGTGATAGTGACGGTGTTCTTGGAGTAGTCTTGGTCGTTGGACGTAGAGCCGTAGATCGTGAGGGCGCCGACGGAGGCGGGGATCAAGACCTGTTCGTTGTATGTACCAGGCTGGATGAAGATGACGCTACCAGATTTGGCAGCATCAACAGCCTTCTGAATGGTACTGTACTGACCGCCAGACTTGGCGACCACAAGGGCGCCGGAGGGGGGAGAAGTCCGGGACGCGCCGAGGGCGCTGGCCACCAGGGACGACAGCAAAAGAATGGAAGAGGCAAACATGTTGCTCCAGTTGGGAAATTGTAGATAGAAATGAATGCGTGTGTTCTCAGAACATAACGAGGGGAAAAGGATGCGCAAAGAACGGAAATGGTCTCGAAGCGGAGTCAACCAGAGTAAGAACAAGTGAAGAGGCCGCAAGGAAAGCCATATCCTTGGAGCACGCTCTAGTTTTCTAGTCTCCAGATGTCCTCGCGGCGCAACTCCTACGGACATCAGGGAAGACCTTCGAAAGGAGGTCAAGTCTTGGCAAACATCTCAACCCCAAATCGATCCAATGTCAAGCTTCTTCTTTCTCTAGTAGTTCTTGGCAGTCAAGGACGTGACGTTTCAATAAACTCAATTCGGCTCTAGTTTCCCTGCCTCACGACTAAAGACCGGACGAGCAGCCCAAAGAATAGAGTGAAAAACAACTCTATCCGCAACGACTTGACATGCCCAACGCAGGGGTCCTGAGATCCGCCTGGTGGGAAATTGCGCTTCTGTTTGTGTGCAGTGTTTGCTGGTGCTTCAGGGGTTGCTCGCAGGTTTCCTCATCTTTCCGAGACCACAGCCACCTGACCAACGCCTGTTCGGGTTCCCCAAATCCCCAGATGGTCTAGACGCTTCTTCTCCTCGTTTTCCGTGTGGTGGACTTCTCCTGATTGGGTATCCACCTCCCCAATTCGAAGCGCCTAGAGGCACTTAATTACAGGGGTGCATAAGCAAGCATAGCTAGTTCGGTGGGCCTGTTTCCTGTTTAGAGGGCTCTCCCCAGACTCTTGGTCCTGAGATCTGACGAAAAAATGGCTCGAAAAGGATTTCGAATCATGCTTTGTGGAAGATTTCTGCCCAGCACGATGATGGTGTGATGATCCCGTGTCCCGTGTTCGATGCCAAGCATGAGTTTTGGGGGAAAGGAGCGTTGTGACCGCTGTACAGCTCGGGATCTTGCAGGTCTTTACGAGAATCTCCACACACCGAATCCAATGGATACTACGTTGACGGACTGTCTGCCGCCGCTGCTGCTCATCGGGGATCAAAAAGTCCGCACAAAAGCCGGATTGAGGTGCGTACATGCCATGGGCAGCGGGCTAAGTGAATACGGTTCAGGTTGAAATAACGTTTCAAGGTTATCGATGTTGGCTGACAGCCGTAAGTTAATCCTGGTCAACGCACGAATGATGTCTAGTGAGCGCGTTCAACCGCGACCTCATGTAACCATGAAAAGCAAAATACTATCAAGTTCTGGATCAACAAAGATACAATTGACGGGAGACTTCTCGTTTCCTCGCTCTCGGAAAACACGTCGCTTCCGCCCCGGAGAAGCGCTGATCGGGGCAGGCATTAAGATGAAACGGCTTACATGACACCTAATCTCATCACGGTAAGCTCCCTATTGGCGCACTGAAAATTTCCGTTTCTAACATGACATTAGCACATTATTGGACACTAATGCCAAGCATTTCAGACAAATAAGACTGCAATTGAAGTAGCGAATTGACGACTGAAATCCACACTGGATTCAGAGAGGTTCTCCTGTCTCAAGCCCAATGCTTTTTTTGTTTCAATTCCCCCAATTACTCGCGATTTCCGAATCAGATCAAGTACCGCACAAACACCGCCCACGCGCTCGCAATGATGGCGAGCAACAGCCCGAATGTGAGAGTAGTAAACCACTTCTTCGAGGTTCGTTTCGTCAGGGGATCAGCCTCTCTGTCAACGATTTGAGCCTCCCTAGCTTCCCTCTGCTTCCTCGTCATCGTCATGCCCTTGCCGAGAAAGTTGTAGTCGATAAAGATGTACGAAAGTCCCAACACGAACGCCCAGGCTTTAATTGCGATAGCAACGATGAGCACCTTTGAATAACCATTGCCTTCGGTGCTATCTTGGAGGGCCCCAAAGACGACGTCCATCTACATTCAAGTCAGCAAAACATGACTCCAAACAATCTTTTGGGTGAAGCCGACTCACGATCGTTGAGCCGGAATTGTTGAACGCTCGCCATACACCAAAGGCCGTCCCGATCTTGGCTTGATCTGCCACCAGCAGCGGAATGCAAATCTGCAATGGCATAGAGTTGATCACGCCTGCCAAACTTGAAAAGACCAGGGCTGCTGTCGGATGAACGTCGGTAAAGCCCAGCATCGAGCAAGCAATGATCCATAGTATGGGGGCAGTTGCAACGTAGTGAAACCGGTGTCCATATTTGTCAATGGCAAGTCCAACAACAGGACTCAGCACAATTGGCAGAATCTTCTGCGCAGTCGACAAGTACCCAGCCACCTCTTCAGTGTACCCTTTCATGAAGATGATGTCCGCAGAGCTGGTGCTGAATCCACCTGCAGCACCACTCTGTAGAAGTTGTGTTGCAGGCAGCATAAGGTACGCCCAAGGCAGGGTGAACAACACGTTCCACGAGAATCTCTTCCGATCCGACAAGTTCTGCTTCTCCGCAATAGCTTTGGCTCGGCCGGAAGTGAGGCGAAAGTGTGCTGGGACTGCGAGGCGCTCGAAGCACACGTATGCGATGTTGACGGCAAGCGAGAAGCCGCAGAAGAAGACGGGAATCCAGAAAGTCCAGCCGTACCAGCCCGTCCCGTCGCGAATTGGAATGGCCACCATGCCGGACACGAGACTGACGGTGTTGGCAATGGCGCTTTCGAGGCCAAAGGCAAAGGCTAAGCCGGAGGCACCGAACCAGTGGTAGAAGAACTGTCAGACGTTAGTCACGCGTGTCAAGCATCTAGTAAGTGTCCCTGAAGTCCCCAAGGTGAACCTACCTTCTGCGTCGCCGAGTCAAGTACCGCGATTCCAAATCCCATCAGCACATGTCCGGAGACAAGGACCCTCCACAACCCCACTTGCACGCCGGCTGCCGCAACCACGGAGCCGACGAGGATGACCGCCGTGCAGCACATGGTCACCACATTCGGGCCCCACCAATCCAGGATCAAACCTCCGATGATGGGAAACACCGTATTGACGAATGCATCCGCGCTGCTGATCACGCCAAACTGCGCATTGTTAATATCGAGCTCGTTCCGGAGGGTGTTCTTCAGCGGGCCGAGAGCCGAGCCGGTCCAGGTGTGCCCGATGGGCAGGGAAACAACGCAGACAAGAGCAATCCATTTGTATGACCAGGGAATTCTCTGCAGCGTCTCGTCATCGTTATCTTGGGGCGCGCTGGTCTCTGAAATTGGGGGTTCTGGCGACTTCTCGGTGTCCGTGACGAGGACATGGGACTTCAGAGAGGTGTCCATCTTGGGCAACTTGAGAACACCCTACCGCGCAAGAACACATGCAAGAGCCTGATGATAAATGCGACTCTTATGTTGGCTAAGAATTTGCGCAAAGTCCCATAGCCCAGGCCAAGCCAGGCCAGACTCTCTCGCGTCGAAAACTCGGACAGAAGGCCGACCACACTGCCACCGCTTTCCGGCTTCGAAATCTTATCTGATCCATCTGATTTGTCGATCCATGATCTGATAAAATGTCGCACTCCATTACAGTGCTCTAGTGTGCCAGTGAATCCTCAGAAAATGTCGTCTACGAGGCTTGGCGGCCAGTTTCGTACCCATATCAGCACTTGGCATCGGTCCTTTGGTACGCTGGGTCTTGGCGTGTCTCCATACCGACCGACTCGCCAACCGACTTGAGTCGATAGTCCGCAGCCTTGTCAGACACCTGAGAGTAGGTAAGTATACCCGAGCGGTTGAAAGATTCGGTGATTTCTTTTCTTGCCCTGATTGTTTCGGGCGTTTGCTAAAGAAGTGGGCACCGTTATGGTTGTGCTTCTCTCTCGGGCGTCAAAATGTGCGATAGCAAAGTTGAAACCCAGGAAGATATGACTGGTTCTACAGGACTCTCAATAGAAGCGCATAGGGCGTTTGTGGGTTGCGAATCTGCACGCGTCCAGGCTAACAATTCAAAACCTCAGTTGCACAATATTCTTGGAAGTGTTTGTCAATCATTAGACATTAACTACGATTCTTGCGTTTATTCATAGTCTCATCGAATTCGCTCAAAGCTTCAGATACTGGACCATATCAGCTTGTCGTCGCCGAGCACCGCCTACGCCGGTCGTCTCAGCTGGGGACTGAGGGACAGCGGCGCGAATCACCAATTTGATCGGTAAATTGACAAACACCGTGTTCGATGGAATCGGTGTGATGATAGTAGTTGAAGGCGTCTCCTCAATAGTCGTCGAGCTGCTCGTCACTACAACAGCAGGAGAATTAGAAGAGACGCTGATCTCGCTGGATGACTGTATGGAGGGTGCCGGTGTGGCAACGCTCGATACGGAGACCAAAGTGCTCGGAGATGGTGAAATGGGGCTCGAGGTCAACGCGGTCGGTACCGAACTTTGGATCGGAATGTTCGATGAATCTGGCAACACCGAGCTGGGGACTGATATGACCGGGAGCGAAGTTGGTAGAGAGGTTGGCAACGAAAGCGGCAGAGACGATGGCAGTGACGTTGGCACGGAGACCGGAAGAGAAGCTGGAACGGATATGGGGCTGGAGCTCGGATTCGGGTTAACGACGGACGACGCGGTCCGAGAAGAGCTTTGCCCAGGCACGGGACCAGGGCCGGAGCTTGGCTCTGAGACTGGTGTGGTCTCTACGGGGCTCGGAGACGGTAGCACGACAATGGGTGAGCTGGTGATCACTTGCGAAGTCGCTGGAACCGATGCCGGAATGCTCGAGTTCGTGAACCGGAAGGAAGATGAGGGGCTGAAGACTCCTGGTATGGATGTTGTTGTCTGGGGAAGAGTCGGGATGTCGCTCGAGGACACGCTCGATGAGAGAACTGGGGGGCTGCTACTACTTCTGGTGCTCGTAGTGGACGTTGAAAGTAGGCTAGGGGACATAGAGCTAATGGCATCCGAGCTGGCACTGGTAGAGGACGAATCTGCCGATATCGTTAGATCATACTAGCACAGTATCGGCGTGAACATACCCGTTGAAGAGGAAGAACTTTGAGAAGATGTAGATGTAGGTGATGTGGAGGTGGAAGAGCTCGTTGGTGTCGTCGTCGGTGTAGCTGTCGACGTAGTGGATGATGAGGTAGAAGCTGCAGTTGTGGAGGTCGAGGAAGAGGACGAGGGTGTCGATGATGAGCTCTCCGTTGACGAAACGCTGGAAGAAGTGGAGGTGGTGCTGATCGTGGAAGAAGTACTCTCACTGCTGGTCTCTGTTGTGCTAGAGATGGTCGATGAAGTACTCGAGGTCGAAGAAGTAATCGTACTACTTGTGACACTACTTGTGGCGGTTGAGCTTGAAGAGCTAGTTGCGCTGGTCGATGTTGGTGTAGATGAGGATGCAGTGCTTGATGTGCTGCTGCTCGAGGAAGTTGTTGTAACCGCGGTCGAGGTACTTGTGAGAGTGCTAGAGCTGCTACTCGAACTTGATGATGTTGTCGAGCTCCCAGGCGAAGTTGAGAGAGGCGGGTAGCCTTGGATGTTGTATACGGTAATGCCATTTACAACGCCGCCGCACTTTTGTCCAGGGTACACAGGATTCGTACAGTCGATAGTGCAGAGGGAGTTGTCGGGTGCTGGATTTGCCGCAAAGGCCGGGGTTATGAAAAATTGGCTGCAGTAACAGTCCTGATTGTACAGGGCAATGTAATTACTCGCGAAGTCGGACATACAGATGAGCGAACAGATTCCTGGGTCTTCAGGGCCTATGTTCTGGAACTGGCTATTGAAATCGGTAATGGCGCCACATCCAAGGTCATAAAATTGGCAGTGAACGACATTTATCGTTGTCGTTACCCATAGAGCTGCTATGCCAGCTAACGTAGATGGTCGATTCATATTAGGTAGTTGTCCTCACGGACTTTGAACTTTCGTGCACAGAAAGCAGAGGTGAATGTCGTCAGCCTGTGGTACTTATGTTAGGCTACAACTAGCTACTGCTGCCTTATGTAGGTAGACAGTGCATTCAGCACTCAATGAATCTTTTCCATAGAATGCCGCAGACGATCAACAAGCCCATTTGCGCCCTTGTCTCTAATCAACCTTGCGCAAGGGTACAAGAATGCCGTTTGAGTGAATTTGGCAACATCACGCTATGAGGCTGATGGAACCAGAATCAACATGACCCCATCTTGAGATGAACTCCCCTGTTGAACCTGAACTTGACATGCCAGCAAAAGTGGCACTTGGCACTATATAATCCAATCAAGATCGTAATACGAGAGCTTTCTCCATCGGATCGTTGACTGTTCTGTCTCGTTTTGTCTCATGGTCCCTTGAAAGTGGCGGCTAGCGGGCCGTCGGGCCTCGCCTGATCAGCCAAGCCGGGCAAAGTAAGACATTCTGAGCAGCGCAGAGGTATGGAACGTAGTTCCTGTCAGGAAAATCAGAATTAAAAGCCATTCCAGTCCCAATGGTGATGCCATTGATGCACATGGCAAGGGGCTCTGCGGACTAAAGGAGGAAAGCTTCCGGCTTGGTCTCGGCCGGAAGGCTGCTTTTCTCGGAGGCGAGTCTCTTGGCACAAGCTTTGAAATGGTCCACGGGTTCTGGACACCAGACACTCAGCTTTTCCATGCTCATTTCCACACATCAGACACCATGCTTCACGAAATGACAACGAGGCTTGGCACAGCCATGCCGCGCTGATTCTATCTTTATTGTTTGGGTGCGGAGGAATTTGCAGTCGCAACTATCGTTCCTAGCTGATGGCACAACCGGGTAATCGGCGAATTAATGGCATGCTTTCCCGTGTCACTGTACTGTGTCACTCTATTTCATTAGTCTACTGCTTTCTTGTAGACAGCTACTGCAGAGGCTTCTCAGTGGAGCTTATTGCTTATCCTTCTAAAAGCCAGGTTCAGGTTACGTTTGATCATCAGAGTTGCGCGTGGAGGTATGGTAGAAAATGTATGTGTCGGCTAACTCACTTTATGCGCCAAGGGACTTCTGACATCCAGTGAGGGAAAGAATAGCCGACCCGTTGCAGTCACTTTATGAATCTGCTCAACTATGATGTGTCAGGAAGGATGATTTATCTTATCACAGTTAGCATCATTTCATGTGACCCAGCAATTTAACACTGGTTGTGTTTGGCAATCAGACCTATTCTATGACGTTTCAGATTCAGCATATTAGGAGATTGTTCAAAACAATTCATCCATTTATTTTTATCAGAAATTAGACTGGGCAACTTGCTTGAGTCTCACCACCTTTTATATAGTAAATGAATAAAGATGTAACTGCAATCAATGACGTAGCGGTGATACTTACACCTAATACTTGCGCGTGGAAAGCAAATGACAGAGACTTAGGACAGGACATAAGAAGTGCCAGCATCTCAGTACCATCTCACTCATACTCACATGTAGACCAGAGTTAGTATATATAAGACCGCATGTATAATGCTTAAGAACAGGGCACAATGTTTCGGGAGCAGCGAACATCCTAATTGACGCACGCTTCCCATCTGTTTCTCCTGCTGTCCTGAACAAGGCTGTTCACAGACCTAGCGCAGTTGCCATCATCAAACAAAATGCCAACAGAAGCGAGACGAAAACCTTTATACATATCAGATAATACGCGCCGGATGATAGATGTGACGGACGCGCGAGACAAAAGTTCACCATACAGGGTCACGCCTACCGCTGTCATTATCACATTGCCCATCACACATCGCTTCATTTAATGCTAGACAAAGACCACAGCATTTGTACCCAGGCTGAATTCTAAGGCGGGCAATGCGTTCGCATTGTCTTGCTAGCGGCTGTAGCCAGCAACTCCAAAAATGCGCATTATATACTCCAGTGTCTGCAGTTTTGAGTCCGCCTCAAACTTAGATAAAAGGAGACCATTTGTCCTCACTGAGACTTCAGAATTTGCGTAAGTCAAAGCCACTTTCATTAGATTGATAGGCGATATAGCTTCGCCGCGTAGTACAAAGATGCCTTTGCCATTCAGATCAAAACAGCAGTGTCACAGGCTCACAGCAAGTCTCTACTGCGCTGCTGTGCTGCTGTGTAAAAGGATCAAGTATTGCGTAATCACGCCGAAATATACGTATACACAAAGAGACACTATGACGGACGCAGAGAGGCCAAATCAGATTTAAACAAGATATAAGGAAGCTGTGTAATCGCACAGCATTATAGGTATACACAAAGAATCATTGTGAGGGACGCAGAGAACCATGTTCTAATGAGGACTAGGTGCGAGGGAATTAATTAAACAAAGCGCGCAAAAATCGTATGGGGGATCAATTAGCAATATGCGCATCTTAATCAACCCCATTGTCTGCGCGATGACTGGAGAGATCATTGCTGGCCAGAAGCTACTAGCAGGCTGGGGGACCCTCCTTTTATAAGTATGCCTTCTGTGTGAAGCACTTTATGTTGTGTGTTTTCTTTTTTCCCTAAGCAATCTTTAACGTTTTCTGGCTGCATGCACTTTGTTTCTACCTATCTTCACGCGCATATTGACGCTCTAATCAGCTGGGAGATATGATGCTGGACGCAGAGAAGAAATAAGCCCCTGCTTAAATTTCTAATGTCTATCTCTAGGAAGAAAAGCACCAGGCTGAAGAGAATGCACCTAGGCCTAAAAATAAAACATCAAAGTGACCACCTCAAAGTCCCACTCCGCGCGACTCGCCAGTTCCATCACACCAAGTTTGAGGACAAGCAAGGCGTTAAACTAAGAAGAGGCATAGAATACTTGCGCGAAAGCGACGGAAGCGTGAGACCGCTCAAGCGCATAAGCACACAAGACTTACTCAGGCCACGCAAAAAGCTTATGAGCAAATCCCCTGAGATTCAAGCTCTATGCCCTGAGCTATGCGAAGCTCAAAGCCAGAAGACGTACGACGATCTGCAATGCATTTCAAGCAAAAGTTAGGAATAGCTATCAGTATTTATCAGTATCTAAGAACTCGTTCCCGTTTCATTCAAAACCACAAGCCGCAAAGACATCTTTCACCTCTTTTAACCAGAAGGCTCATCTGAATGTTGAAACTCGTGTGTTGAATGCGACATCAGCAGACCAGAGGTCACATTTGCCGCAGCCCTATACTCTCTAAAGGCTGACGGAAATAAGCACACTTCAACAATCCTCTTGTCTCTTCCCTCTTTACCCCTCTTTCGGAGTCTTTCCAAATTCCCACAAACCACAATTCAACCAGCTGTCCGCAGCCACGCTGTCAGCAACTTACCAGCAAGCCCCTGGCTTCACACATGCATTTAGTTGTTGTCGTCCTTTCCAATCCCACTCAAAGAAGGCAATTCACACAAAAGACTTCAGTCCGGCGCCACCGTCAAATGCGAAAGCGGGGGGGTTTTCAACTTGCCACGTCCCTCAAAATTTCCCATGGTCCCCGCCTCTCGTATGAAAACGCAAGGATCGAGGGGTAAATGAATGAGAGGGGAGAAGGAGGGAGAAAATTTCTATCAGCAAGGGTACGCCAGCCGTCCAGCCCCAAGCCCCAAGCCCCCGGCCCGAGAAGACCGGCCAGCCGGGCCCCGCTCCCGTACGGTCCCCACCTTTCAGTGTTGCCTTGGCATTAGCCGGTCGGACGCCCTTGCTCAGCTGCGCTGGGCCGCTAGGCCCAAGTATGCTTCAATAGTTGCGAGGTTACCGACAATTAACCAACTCCTTGTATAAAGCTTGATAGACGCATGTCAAAAGACAACGCTTCGGCCGTAATTGAGTTTCTCGGAATACGAAGTTGAGAGAAGGAGATATTTTTCCCATTCAAATTTTCCCGCACCCGACATCACACACTGGTTTGTAGCGGCCGCTGACCGATGTCATGATCGGCTGTTGTTGTCGTCGTTGTTCGCAATGTGAACGACAAAAATGATGGATCGATGTACAGTACTTCCTTGTCGGGTAGGAGCTTCGCAAGCCAGCGTACGTCAACCTGTCCAACAAGGCTTTGCAAGGGTCCCTTCTAGTTGGGGCAGGTTTGCAACGCATACAAGCGCCCGGCATCGAGATCTAACCAATTTTGGTAGGTTAAAGCACCGGAAGGCGCGTTACTAGGGATCCGATCGCAGGCCAGTGTCTTTACGAATGCAGATCGATACGCGTTGTTGAAGATTCTGCCATGCGAAAGCGGCTGTAGAGAACGGGAAGATTCGCCGAGGTGTGTGGGTATTTGAACCATGAGCACTACACTCGTAGATGTCACCCCTGGATAGTACAGAATGTGTATCCTGCGGCTCGGCTTTTCTGTAGCATGTACGAATGCCAGGGTGGTTTTGCCGTCTTCTTTTGATGGGCCCTAACCATAGCCTCACGGCTGAGATGTGACTGCTCCCCTATTGACCCCGTTCTTAGTATCACTCGACCCCGTGGGATTCGACCGAGCTATGGGCTCTGGCCCGACAATAACCAACCAGCTGCGTGTCCGCGGAAACAAGACGCGGATAAATCTCAAATCTCCATGCAATTCGGGGGGCTGGACCACTGCGGGCGGGT